TCTTGACGTAGATATTTGGATTTGAGAGGCATCTGTACTTGTTGGACCTTGAGGTGCGGACATAGTCGTTGGGATTTGTGTAGTTGACGCGGAATCGGTGGAGTTACCCAGTTGTAATGAATTTGAGAAAGTTGTAAGAAACACAAAGGACACCAGCAGCCACATCATGACTGTAAGTTAAAACAATGTTAGAGTATGAATTTACACGTCGTAAATAAGACAGTACTACACCACTGCAACTATTTTGTTATATCTCTGTTGAACGGTAGACGTATCTAACATCAGTTTTTGTTAAATAAATAATTGTCATTCCCAAAAACTGAACACGGTCGCTGTAAATTTTTTGGTAGTTCGGTTTGTTACAGTTTTCTTCTCTCATAGGTCTAGTCTCAAGTAACACCTCATCTAGTCGTGTTGTCAGAAATTTCTAGACCATCTTTTTTAAAAAAATGTAGTTTACTACATGTGGTCAAGGTGATAGCTATATTTTTTATATATTCTTTTTAACCAGTGATTTATGTCTTTTCCCAATTTCGTTGGACGGACGGTTTGATATTGTACTTTTTTTTTAAATATTTAATGCTAATTACATCAAAGTAACTTTGCTCGTGATTTTTATCGATGTTATTAGTCAAGAAAATGTTATAAGTCGTATACAATTTGTAATGTTACAATATCATCTCTTTTATATTCAGTACGTTTTTAAGAGTAAATTATAAATGTATGAAACATACCCTGATTTTCATGCGTGTTTATATAATTTTTATACATAGTTCACTCTAGCAAACTTTTTCATTACCCAATTTAGCGCTTTAAGCTATGTTTAATTTTTATAGACTTTGAAAGAATGATTTAGCATTTTTTATATGTCCACATTTGCCTATAATAATGTAAACGAATTAAGGATTGATTGCTATTGTAACAGTTCATTAATATACAGATTGTTTATGTATGCGTTCCTACTTAAAATTTAAGAGAAGGCAGGTATTAGATTTTTTACTTACTCGTGAAATTTCATTTATTTATCTGAAATAGTACTCAAGTTATAGGCTTTTGAAAAATTGAAAGTAGAGTAAGTTCCACTTCCGGTTACCGAAAATCTCTGAAAAGTTGAAAAATCCTATAAATTTGATATAATACTTATATATGAAATTTCATCAACCTAACTGTAACGATACTTTAAGTTATTGTGTTTAAATATATACAAACACTAACACACACACATACACACACAGAAAAACGGACAAAATTGCAAAACTATGTTTTTCCGACTCAGAGAGATGTAAAACGCCGAGATTTCTAAAACTCTCGATTTTTTTTTTGCACTATTACAATACTTCCTCTATAGACCTACTTCGTTTACGAAAAAGTAATAAACGTGCGTGCGTGTGTTCATGCCCGCATTCAAACACTATACAAAAAATAAAAATATATACATATAAAAATTCGAAGCACTACTTACGTGTAAGGTTATTATACGCAGTCCCAAACAAAATGAGAGACTGTATACCAAATACAACAGTAAAATTGCTGCGTAAGGGTACATCAGTGATTTTTAAAAACTGTGATTCATTTGATGAATCAAATTATAAATAATGCACGCTTTTAAAATACTGTTGTAAATGTAATATTAATTATTAATTAGTGAGCGGTTGAAGAACAAAACAATTCAATACCATTAAAGTAAACTTGATTTGAACGCGTAAATATTAAATGTGTGCTAAGTCATGCAAAATTCAACATTAAACACATTCCCATGAAGCTGAAGACGTCAAAAAATGACGCAGAGCACAATTATCATATTTGATGTGACATTTCAAGGTGCACTTTGCTGAAAATCCTTGACATACAACAAATTAACAGGGACCAACTTTCTGATTTGACAAACATTTCTTCAACTCGTTTACTTTATAGACCAGCCGACTAATAGACACGTAGAAACTACTATTCTTAAAACAGAATTAAGTGGAAGTGAGCCACCCTTACCTTTCTCGTATATAATTTCTATAATATAAACATGCTAGGTAGTGTGTCATTCCTTCCGTCTTTCGTTATCGGTATAGCAATTATGTGTTTGTTTTTTAAAGCTGGATAAATGTGTCTTTTTCTCATGGAAATCTCATCATTAGTTGTTCCAAATCAATCAACTGTAATCGCTAAGTTACAATTTATTAGTACTATACAGGTAGCTAATTAATAAAAAAATGCCACATATTGCTCGCAGCGCATTTTTATTACAAATTAAAATTTCTGGTCTATTATGTAATGCCTCAATTTTTATGATTGTCGTGAAAGTGTCTTTCCTTATGCATTCGTCAACCAATGCGTTTAGAGCATGTTTAGACGTGTGGACTTTCTGTGGTTTGCTGCGGGGTGTCGTTCACGGTGCAGTGCCGTGTAAGGTGGTGTGCGCTATGATGTGAAGCTATGTAGTGTGGGTGTTTTTATCTACCATTTGTTGTATTTTGTTTGTGTATGATTTGGTGTATCTCTTCCTAAACATTCATACTGTTATACATAAGAGGTAGTTACCCTGAAAGTAAGTCCGTTTTCCAGTCTCGGAGTTAGGCGTCGCGCAAACAATGATTATCGTCTAATGTCGCTGTTTAATTCGCGTTCTTAGTTGCAAGGTGTTGTGTTACAGTTCATAAAGTCGATCTCCAGTCTTTGTTGTATAATCAATTTAAAAATAGAAGCCAACTATTTCACTGTTAAATATAAAATTATAATTGCTAAAGTAATAGAGCAATCATAAAAACCTTTAAGATTTTAATGCACACAAAGTTTAATCTTTTTTTACCTTCTCATAGACAGGGTAAAATAGGGGATGAATTGTAATGTGTTTTTTTTTGTCTGTGTCAGTGTGTTTATTTATCAAAGTGTCTCTGTGTCTGTTTGTAAGGCTTTAATTAGTTTGGTGCTGCGCATATTAATTATACGCAATAAAATATTACGAAATTTTTTTTAGAACTTTATATTGACTTCCGTGTTATTTTATTCAATTCAGTTTTTTTTTTCAATTTTATCCATTAATGGTAACAATATTAGGCACGGAGGCCTTTTTTTTACATTGGCCGTTTTAAAATAAACAAATAAAAAAGCAATTTAAGAACAGCATTTAAAAAAGCAAATGCGTGTTAATTTGTTTCTTATTAAAACAAACCCGAGAAACGAACATTAAACTGTGGACATCAGTGTGCTAGTAGTTTAATTGTTACAATTAAAATTACTTGACTGTAAACAGCTAATGACAACCATGCAATAAGCGTAGACTGGTTTTTGAAACAGTAAAAGTAAAATCAATAATAACTATTAAATGAAAGCAATGTTAATCATTTTTTTAATAATCAGCCCATGAAAAAAAAGTTTTATTATGATGTCAATACAACATTCAGTATACCAAATATTAATTGTAAAGATACATAAAGATACAAACACAAATGTTAATTAGATAATAGTAATATTTAATAAACCGGGAGTGATCTCCCCTAGACTTTCTTTAATATTCATAATATAAAACTACGAGGGATGGCAACTCAGGATATAGACAATATTTGTAATCCATTTTTAATTACTAAAACTTTTTATAATAGAATAGAATCTCGTAAAAAAAAGAATTGCACACCAAGTGAACGCATAATAAAATGTGCATAATAGTGTGGGATATTATTAGTACTTTATAAATTAACGTGTGTTTTTTGAGTAATCGGAAATAGCGTAAATTAGTATTTCCGATCAACGGAAATTACTCAAAGTTTGACAGAGGATAGATAATTAGATCTTTTACGTACAAGTGAAATTTCATTTATCTATCTGAAATAGTACTCAAGTTATAGGCGTTTGAAAAATTCAAAGTAGAAAAAGTACCACTTCCGATAATCGGAAATCACTCAAAAGTTTATACGGATCTACGATTTTGATATAATACTTATATATGAAATTTCATCAACCTAGCTGTAACGGTACTCAAGTTATCGTGTTTACACACGGACACACAGACAAAGGACAGAATTGCAAGTCCAGTTTTTACGACTCGATAACGCATAAAACGCCAAAATGTTTATATATTTGTATTTATAATTTTTGCCTGATTAAAATAAGTCCTCTATACTCCGGATGTGATGAAGGACTGGGGAGTAAAACGGTGAAAACTGTCAAAATTTCATGTTATTTTTTAACACGATTACAATACTTTCTCTATACTTCGTATATACGGGAAAGTAAAAATGAATTGAGAATAGTAATAATGGCATTATCTATATACATTTTAGATATTTTCATGGTACAAATCGTAGAACAACACTATGAATATAAACAGTCAACTTTATGCATTATATTTTATTTTAAATTAACGTTCGATAGCCTAGGCTGAAGCAACATCTGGAATATTTTACACTGTCTTTGTTGACAGTACGCGTGCAGAAAAAAAATGAAACAAGGAAGGCAAATGGAAATGTAAAAGCGCACTTCAGAAAAACTTTTTTTTAAAAAGATGATTATTTTGGGGGACTGCCAAGTAAACTGCATTGAACCGGGAAGTAAATAAAGTGCTTAATGAAGCGATCTCTTTGTCTAAGGCCAAAAAGCGAAAATATGTCGATGATCGAGTAATATTTTTTTTAATAAAAATCAAAATAATAGTAACTAATATGTTAATGATAATACAAGTGTATTTTTTCACTTAAATGTTGATTATGTCTATATATAAAAAGTAAATACAGTGACAATTATGAATACATGTATTCGCAGTTGATTGGCATAGTGCTAACTAAATTATATATTCAAATGCCGATGTCTATGAAACCGATGAACTCTAATTCGTCCGCCCTATGTCTCCTGGTACTAACGGGAAATGATGATATTCGTTACGGTGATAGAAAACCGCTTATATGCATTGCCAAATACGTTAAAACCATTTCAAAATTATACAATATGTCCAATACAAATTTGTTATGTGTGTTATAAGTAGCTTTGTGATCTATTTTAAAAGATTCAGACATTTAATTAACCAGTTTGTGACCAACAGGCCAGTAGTAGAGTAATGGTCTAGGACATGGTAAAGTCTCGTACTGTACTGGGTCAAAACAAAGAGGTATTTTAGACCAGTCTTCTACAGGTAATCTTGATATAGGTTCTTGAAACATCAATGTTCGCTGCAATCTTGGTGGGAGTTTGGTCTGTTTTAGTTTTTCTTCTCTCATAGGTCCAGTCCCAAGTAAGGTGGAGACTTCAATAAAAGCTAGTTTGACCAGTGGCCAGGGTTGTTGGATTGCTAATTGTAATTCAGGTGGAATATTTAGGGTTGTTGAGTTAACTGAATCGTTTTCTTTAAACTTTCGCAACATTTGAAAGTCAGACTTGAATATCATTCCTGTGGCGAAAAGGTATTTGACAAATACTAAACTGTTAAAAGACATAAAGTGAGGAAGTTGTAGGGCTTTATCTATTCCCCAGAGGTTAAAAGCCTTCAATAAAATGCATCCATTCACAAGACAAAACTGAAACAATCGTCGAGACACTTCACTGGTTGTTCTCCCGTATTCTTTATGTTTTTCAATTTTTTTACTAATTTTTTTGACTAAATACCCGTACTCATTATCAACTACTAAATCTGCGCCTAGTTTTAGTATTTCTAAAATACAATTCCATTTGTTTGTATCAAAGTTTAACAAAATGTGAACTAGAACAGATCTATTTTTATTGTCCACCTTATTTAAATCAGCCCCATATGCTACAAGTTTGGGTAAAACTTCCAAAAAATTGTCGGCGGCATGTTTGTTTACGGCTATCATACAAGCGGTCTGGCCTGTGGCGTCACTTGCATTCACAACTGCTCCATGTTCTAAAAGTATATTTAAAAAATCAGTGTTATATTTTCTAAATCTCATTCTTTTGACGGCATAATTCTCAATGGCAAGCATCAAAGCATTTTTTCCATTATTATCTTGCGCGTTTACATTAGCACCGCGTGCTAATAAAAATTCAGCCAATCGAAATTCACCCGCAACTGTGGCACATATTAGTGCTGTCCGTCCATTTTGTGAACAAGCCTCCATATCTGCTCCCATTTCTAATAATGCTCGTGCTACATCGTCATTAAAGGCGTGGTGTAAAGCTGTTTCACCTAAATTATTTTGTATTTTTAGGTCAGTTCTATCATCAAACTAGAAATGAATTAATTTATCTTTTGTCATAAGAAAAAGTGGTGTGTTTCCTTCGTTGTTTTAATCGTTTACATTTGCCCCATGTTTTATCAAAACACTTATGGAATGCTCGAGATTTAACTTTACAGTCAAATGTAAGGCTGTGTTACCTTGTCCATTACGGGCGTTGATGTTTGCATTGTTTTCTATTAAATGTGTAATAGTACATGGTAGCATTTCTAAAATCACATTCTGATAGCGCGACATTTCTTTTGCTTTAAGAGTCGTGTGGTGCAAGGCTGTATCCTTGTTTACATCCACCAACGTCACATCGGCTTCAACAGAGAGAAGGTACCTGACAGCCTTAACATTAACACGACAACACGCCATCATTAACGGCGTCTCGCCTTTTACGTTCTGGACATTGACGTCAGCTTTGTGGGCTACAAACAACTCCAAGACATTCACGTCGCCCAACTCAGCCGCTGCGTGTAGACAAGTGTTACCTTCATCATCCATGGCTGAAATATTGGCGCCATTGTTTAAAAATGATTCAGCTACAAGTTTTAAGTTATCTATCCAGATTTTTTTTATATTAAAGTCAATTTCAGCTCCCACGGGTGTAGCGAAAATATAATCATCAAAATACAGTGCAAGTTTTATGGCTATCGTTAAGGCTGGTTCCTTTTTAGTATCTCGCATATTAGCATTAGCTCCATGTTCTAATAAAGCAATAGTCATTTCAACGCTTCTATTTTCAAGAGCAACTAATATTTCAGAATATTCGCCCATATCCAAATTCGCGCCATATTGAATCAACAAGTTTACAAGCTCCGTGTCGTTATTTAAAACAGCAACAAATAAAGGCGAGCATAGAGAATCACATATCAAGTTTACATCAGCTCCACATTCAAGCAGATATTTAGATGCATCTTTTTTTTCGAACAGCAAAGCAATAAATAATGGGGAGTTTCCATAATTGTCTACAGCATTTATATTTGCACCAAATTGGCACAAAGATTGCAAGATCTTCAAATTACACGCAGTAGCTGCGATATGTAAAGGTGTTCTACCATGTTCATCAACAGCTTGAGTATTAGCTCCAGCTTTTAACAGTAAGTTCACTATTTCGTTGCTGCCGTCTCTCGAAGTCCCAGCTAAATGTAGTGGTGAGTTTTTACTTCTTGAACATTTTTCTACAACGCTTTGTATTTTGCTTAAGAACTTATTTTTACCTATTGCATACAATTCTCCTTGACAGTTCGAGGCGATGTTAACATCAGCTCCAGCTTGTATCAACTTGGCTACCATCTGTACATTAAGCCTCATCACCGCATAAGCTAATGCTGTCGTCTGATTTCGGTCAAAAAAGTTGACCTCAGGCTTTAAGTTAAGCAAACGATCAAAGACTTTTTCGTTATTTGTTTTAGCTGCCCACATCAAGGCTGTCATTCCGTCTATGTCAACATTTGAAATATCAGCTCCGTGTTCTAGCAAAAATTGTGTGAGAGCAAACTTACTTTCCATAATGGAGTTTATGAGAGGTGTTCGTTGATAAGTATCTACACAATTTATATCCGAGCTTGCCTTGATAAGAAGCTCCATCATTTCTCTATTTGAAGTCTTACATGCCTCAGAGAAAGGTGTATAACTTTCATTATTAAAAACCTCAATTTTAGCTCCAGCGTTCACAAGTAATTTTACTATTTCCAGACTATTTGACCTGCAGGCATAATGAAGAGCTGTACTCTGAGAATCATCTGCTTGGTCGATATTTACAGATTTTTCTAAAAGAAATTTGACAATTTCCATTTGTTTTGACTGAACAGCTTTTATAAGTAAACTACTGCCGTCTTCGTCAACCAAGTTTACATCCGCGCCGGATGATACAAGCAATTTAACGATTTCAATGTAAGAACAACTAAACTCTTGCATTTTAGCCCCAACCAACAACACATTTATTAGCTCAACTCTATCACCACTGCAAGCAACTTGAAGAGCTTTATTTTTGGAGAAATTCTCAATATTAAAATTAGAGTATTTTTCAATTAGAATTCTTATAATCGATATGTCTTGCAATTGTACGGCTTGTGTAAGTAGTGACTCTAAATTTCTTACCACTCCTCTACGAATCCATAGTTGTGAAAAATGAAGCTTGTTTATCAGAGCTACTTTTTCTGATAATTTCTCACGAGTTAATGATTTTAAATTGAATGAAACCCCCGCGTTTATTAAATCTGCTAGCAAATCAAAACATCTATTAATAAAAGCCACATAAAAGGCGGTCCCCGATTGATTTGAGTCATCTTTAAGATATTTTTTCATAACCTTCTCTCCTTCGGCAACTGTATTCAAATAGCCATACTTCAGCTCCTTTAAAGCATCCAATCCTCGATCACAATTAAAGAAACATCCAGCCTTGACCAGTGCTATTACACATCCTAAGCTGTATTTGTACATAGCTAAGGTTAGTGCTGTGACAATTCTGCGATGTTGTCCACGACAGGTACAAGGCATAGATGTTTGTACATTTGGGTCAGCACCCGCTTTTAGTAGCAATGTTATTGCCTCCAAATTGTTGGCTTCAGCAGCTAACATTAGAGCGGTCATGCCCTTACTATTTTTACAATTAATTGAAGCAGGGTCCAAGCCTTCGATATTTCCCAATTTAGCAGCCGTAAAAATGTCAGTTGTCCCGTTAGACATGTTTGCATGTTTGTGAAATTTAAAAAACGTAGGCCTATCTTCTGTGTTGTAACCCTGAAATCCAAAAAGAAACAATAGTTTAGTTTAAGTTTTACAGAAAGAAAAAAATCAGTTTCGATAACATTTCACCACATAATTTTTTCCTAATTTTATACTTTTCTTCTCTCAAGTTTTTTATGTGGTAAACACGGATTGTTTTTATTAAATATATTTTGGAAATGTATTGTATGTTACCTTATAAATTAATCCAATAGTACAGCAACACTTTCTTAATGAGTCTTTGAAATATATATTATTACATCATTACATAATATGGTATTACTTTTCGGCTAGGTTCTTCTCTTTGCATTTTTAATAAAGATGCATAAAAAGTCTTGAATATTTTCAAAAACAAAATAGCCCTCCGCACCGAGAACAACCCATCATAGCTAGGTGATTGCTATTCAAGAACCTCCCGCTGAAGAGTCCTATGGTTCATCTAATGAGCAAAATGACGAGTTGACCTGTTCGATGAACGTACAACAACCATGCATTTAACCAAGTTTGTGTGTTATCATCATCATCTTTTCCCGTTCTTGGCCAAAACACATGGGACAAATAAAGTAGATTTCTTGTTTCAGATACCTCGGCATAATAATAGTGTGGCTGACACTACACACCGCCGTTTTTTTCTCTAACATTTTGCATTTTTCTGTGGCGCAAATTTCTGTTTGCGCTTTTTTCCGTTGCGCATCTTCCTTGGAACCGATGGTCTGATAGTTAATTGTAGGACAGTTAATGGTAAGGTGATGGTCCGACAGCTGATGGTTGATAGACAGTTAATGGTAAGATGATGGTCAGGCAACTGACGATAAGACAGTTGATGTTCAGATGATGAGCAGACAGTAGATGCTCAGATAATGGTCAGACAGTTAATGGTCAGAAATGTTCTTGTAAATGCTAATATTGATTATAATTAGTTTGATAACACGCGTTATTTATAATCAAGTTACCAATCATAATTATTAAACGAATGTATACGTTTATTTTTTAACTCATTACAAACTTTTCAAACCACATCGTTCACTTTCAAAATGGAATTGTTTATATTTCCTATATCATAATTTTAATTAATACAAACGTAAAAATGTGTGAACTTTCTATTTTTTAACAGCGTGACGTTGAATTTTATATATAATTTTAAAATTTGACTTGGGTCGTCATTTTTTTTCTTTTTTTTTTATTCCTATGAGTTTTTTAAAAGTAGGTATTTTTTATTATTATATTTTACTTTCATTTAAAAACTACTAACCATGTTCGTCTAGCCTTCCTTGTATTTCAAACTCTTGATCATTATAATAATAATTATAAAACTACATATCGAGCTGGTGTAATACATAAATTGGAAGAACATTACTTGTTATTGCATGTGCGAACAAAAATATACATTGGAATAAGTCTTGTTTTGTTTTAAAGATATATTTAAATATTTTGCTATTTCATATCAACTATAATTGAGCTACATACAAAAAAGTTTAGGTCTAGATTTAAGAGTGTCTTAAAGAAAACATTTGCACGTTAGTCTAATCAAATCGTGGCAATCAAAGTTAAAATTGCTTTTACCTCATACTCGTCATACGTTTCTTGAAGCTTTCTTTTTCTTTCATGATTCGTCATGGTTCGAAAATACCAAGTGAAATTTCTACCACTTCCAACCGACCAATTTATTTGAAACTTGGAACGTAGGTCAAGATTATGCAATCTGAAATCAAATTTGTTTAGACGCTTAATTAGTTAAGTATGATGTAAGTAATATAATCGTATAAATTTTAGTTCTAAAATTTATAGCTCTATTATATGCATATCACAAGATTTTATTTAACTTGCTTGCTCTGTCTGTTGAAACGCTCTAGCGTAATTTCGGGCACTTCTAACAGACAGATTGATTTTAAAGTTGGCACGTCAAATTTAACTTAATTTATTCATTTTCTCCTATTTGTTGCACTGTTATATAAAAGCTTGTTATTAGATGATTTCTTAGGTAATTTCTTTTTGACTTTAGTGCATAATTGTTTTAAGTCATGCAAATCTATCGTATTAAATATGTTAAAGTACTTTAAATACTTATTCATTCTTAAATATTTAAAGAATTGCATTTATTTTCTTCTTTTTATTGCAAGTGGAAAATAAAATAAATATAAACTATTTTATAATAAGAAGCATTCAAATGTAACTAATTAACTAAATTTAACAAAAAACATGCTCTCTTTAATTAAACGTTTTAACATCAAAATAATTTATAGATTAAATAAGCTATCATTTTTTTAATATTAAAGAAAGCAAGTTTGTCTTATTTCAAGTGCATTTAAAAATCTTGTTTTTATAAAGAATGTATTTGTTTATTTTACTCATTTTTGGGGTTCCATGTGGAGGGAGAGGGGGGATTCATAACTCCTTACCCTAGCCACGTCAATGCTAACCTAATAAAAAAATTAAGGTAGCCTATTTAATAATTTAATAGTGCTTTTTTGCGTAGTATAACATAGAAACTACATCCTAAATACTGAGTGATCAGTGCAAGCAATTCGTCAGACATTTGTCTATTTCTTTTTTGGGTGTTTCTAACCCACTAAACATCTCAGCTATATATATATATATATATATATATATATATATATATATATATATATATATATATATATATATATATATATATATATATATATATATATATATATATATATATATATATATATATATATATATATATATATATATATATATATATATATATATATATATATATATATATATATATATATATATATATATATATATATGAACATTCAGATACATTTTAAACAAGGTGAACTGACAGCAAGTACTTCTAGCAAGATGGCGTCCGTAACACGGAAGTTTTTTCCAAGCACACAGATAAACTGCTTTCGTTCAAGTAGCAAGCAACATATTGATAAGCCCTACTGTTTAAAATAATAAAAATAGGTACAAAATTCAACATATACTTACATTATTTCTTTTAAGACACTTTTGTAAACTGGTTATGCTCTTTATCGATTAGTTTACTAAAGGAATTTAGACTACCTGTCAAAAATCATAGTTCCATTCTAGGAAGTATAAAACTTGGAATTTCCATATTTCGACATGGCTAATGCAATCCACTTCCGCACAAACAAGGCTTGTTGTGCTTGCCTTAGTTTTATAACACGATACAACGATATAATTTAACAAATATAGAATGAAGGCAATATTAATACTACGTATTAATTTCATTTTTTTAATAATCGATCATTAAAAAACCCTAATAATAATTATAATTAATACTCTTATTGTACTAAATATAAATATAATATAGACATTTTCTATTTAGTAATAAGGCTAATTAAGTATTGTAATGATAACGTTAATAATTATAAATAAGAAGATACATTTTTAATTATAACATTAAAACTAATAATAACATATAATAACAATAAAAACAATAAAACGACATGTATATTTTGTCGCTTGAACCTTGGTTATGTCTGTGCGCAAACATCCACATTCACTCACACTTATGAAAATATACAATCATGGCAAAAGTTACAAAAAAAAGTTCAAATTTATTTAAAGATAATTTCAAAATTATTCAATATGTTCTCTTCAAATCGGAATTGATTTTTTTGTTAGAGGTAGCCCTGATAAATAGCCTAACTATTCTGGTATCTTTTTAACAGAATTAATAACACCCAGTTAACCAGTTTTAAACATGGTGGTGGATTTAGCATAGAGTGCGGTTTATGTGTTGTGAGGGTTGGGTGTGGAGCGGTGTGGAGCGGTGTAGTGTGGGGTTTAGGGCGGGTGGGTTGGGGTTCGGTCTACTGTATGTTGTGAGTTATCTGTATGTAGTGAAGCAGACTATGGTGTGTTGAAAAGCGTGTTGGATAAATGATTGAGTGTTGTTCGTGTGAATAGTGGTGTGAGGTATGGGTTGTTCTGTGTGAGGTTTGGGTTGTATTTTGTGAGTTGTGGGTTGTGTTGTGTGAGGTATGGGTTGTTCTGTGTGAGGTGTGGGTTGTTCTGTGTGAAGTGTGGATTGTTCTGTGCGAGGTGTGGGTTGTTCAATGTGAGGAGTGGCTTGTTCTGTATGGTTTGTGGGTTGTTTTGTGTGTGGTGAGGGTTGTTCTGTGTGGTTTGTGGGTTGTTCTGTGTGAGGTGAGGGTTGTTCAGTGTGAGGTGTTGGTTGTTCAATGTGAGGTGTGGGTTGTTCTGTGTGGTTGTGGGTTGTTCAATGTGAGGTGTGGGTTGTTCTGTGTGGTTTGTGGGATGATCTGTGTGGTTTGTGGGTTGTTCTGTGTGTGGTGTGGCTTGTTCTGTGTGAGGTGTGGGTTGTTCTGTGTGAGGTGTGGGTTGTTCTGTGTGAGGTGTGGGTTGTTCTGTGTGAGGTGTGAGGTGTGGGTTGTTCTGTGTGAGGTGTGGGTTGTTCTGTGTGAGGTGTGGGTTGTTCTGTGTGAGGTGTGAGGTGTGGGTTGTTCTGTGTGAGGTGTGAGGTGTGGGTTGTTCTGTGTGAGGTGTGGGTTGTTCTGTGTGAGGTGTGGGTTGTTCTGTGTGAGGTGTGAGGTGTGGGTTGTTCTGTGTGAGGTGTGGGTTGTTCTGTGTGAGGTGTGGGTTGTTCTGTGTGAGGTGTGAGGTGTGGGTTGTTCTGTGTGAGGTGTGAGGTGTGGGTTGTTCTGTGTGAGGTGTGGGTTGTTCTGTGTGAGGTGTGGGTTGTTCTGTGTGAGGTGTGAGGTGTGGGTTGTTCTGTGTGAGGTGTGAGGTGTGGGTTGTTCTGTGTGAGGTGTGAGGTGTGGGTTGTTCTGTGTGAGGTGTGGGTTGTTCTGTGTGAGGTGTGGGTTGTTCTGTGTGAGGTGTGGGTTGTTCTGTGTGAGGTGTGGGTTGTTCTGTGTGAGGTGTGGGTTGTTCTGTGTGAGGTGTGGGTTGTTCTGTGTGAGGTGTGGGTTGTTCTGTGTGGTTTATGGGTTATGTGTGAGGTGTGAAGTAAAGGAATGCGGTTCGTAAATTGTAGGTATAAATGTATATATTACAGTGTGACGTGTATTTTTATTTATTTGTTTTTTAGGGGTGGAATGTGTTCTTTTGTTTAGTTTTTTTTGCGTCGCGTTTGGAGCATGTTTAAATGTGTGAACTTTATGGGGTTAGTTTCGGGGTGTCGTTCACGGTGTCGTGCTGTGTGAGGTGGTGTGTGAGGTGGTGTGTGAGGTGTTGTGTGAGGTGGTGTGTGAGGTGGTGTGTGAGGTGGTGTGTGAGGTTGTAAGTGAGGTGGTGTGTGAGGTGATGTGTGAGGTGGTGTGTGAGGTGGCGTATGAGGTGGTGTGCGCTATGGTGTGAAACGAGGTAGTGTGGGTTTTTTTATCTACCCCGCGATGTATTTTGTGTGTGTATGGTTTGGTGTATCTCATCCTAAACATTCATATTTTGATATATAAGAGGTGGTTACACTGAAAGTCCGTTTTCCAGTCTCTTTCAATGATTATCGTCTAATGCTGCTATGTTTAGTTCGCGTTCTTGTCATAGCTGCAAGGTGTTGTGTTACGGTTCATTAAGTGGATTCCAAGTCTTTGTTGTATAATCAATTTAAAAATAGGAGCGAATTATTTCGCTGTTAAAAATAAAATTATAATTGATAAAGTAATAGAGCAATCATATAAACCTTTATCTAAGATTTTAATGCACACAAAGTTTTTTTTTTTACCTTCTTTTAGAGTGGGTAAAATAGGGGATGAATTTTAATGTGTGTTTGTGTTTGTGTCTATTTCAGTGTGTTTATTTATCAAAGTGTCTCTGGGTCTGTCTGTAAGGCTTTAATTAGTTTGGTGCTCCGCATATTAATTATATTCAATAAAATATTCCGAATTTTTTTTAGAAATTAAAATTTACTTCCGAGTTAATTTTGTTTCTTATTGAAACACACCCGAGAAACGAACATTAAAACATGGACAGCACTGTGCTAGTAGTTTAATTGTTATAATTCATATTACTTTACTGTCAACAGCTTATAACAATAATGTCAACAAGGTACATCAGGCTTTTTGATACAGCAAAAAAAATGAATAAACATTGAATTAAATCAATATTAATTATATTCTATTTATTTTTACAAATTTATTTAAAAAAATAATTATTATGATGACAGTACAACATTTAGTAGACCAATTATTATTTATAAAGATACATACACATGTGTTAATTAGATAATAATAATATCAATACAAAAATTAAAAATTATAATAATGGCATTATCTATTTACATTTTAGATTTTTTTTTATGGTACAAATCGTAGAGCAACATTAAGAATACAAGCAGTCAACTTTATGCATTATATTTGATTTTAAATTGGCGTATAATAGCCTAGACATGAGCAGCCTCTGGAATATCTTACAGTGTCAAGGTTAACAGTACGCCTGCAGAAAAAAAAAAGAAACAGGGAAGGTCAAGGGAAATGTGGAGGCGCAATGAAGAAAAATAATTTTCTTTAAAAGAAGATTATTTTGGTGGGCTGCCAAGTAAACTACTTAGAACTGGTAAGTTTATAAAGAGCTTTATGAAGCAGTCCCGTTGTCTTAAGAACTAAAGCGAAAATATGGCGATAATCGAGAAATAATTTTTTATATAAAATCAAAATAATAGTAACTAATATACTTTTCATAATAATTCTCGTATATTTTGTCACTTGAATGTTATGTCTGTATATATATATATATATATATATATATATATATATAAGTAAATACAGTGACAATTATGAATACAAATATTCGTAGTTGCTTGGCATAGTGCTAACTACACTAGCCATTCATATGCCGAGATCTATGAAACCGATGAATTCTTCTTTGTCTGCACCTTCAATACTAGGCATATAGGGGATATGATATTCGTAGTTACGGTGATAGAATTCTCTTATATGCACTGGCATTTAAAATTATTTCAAAATCATACAATATGTCCAATGCAAATCGAAATTATATTTGATGTGGTTTAGAGGTAACTTTGTCGTCTGTTTTCAAAGATTTAGCTATTTAAATAACCAGCCTATGCCCAACAGGCCAGTAGTAGAGTAAAGGTCTAGGACAGGGTAAAGTATCGTACTGTACTGGGTCAAAACAAAGAGGTATTTTAGACCAGTCTTCTACAGGTAATCTAGATATTGGTTCTTGAAACATCAACGCTCGCTGTAATCTTGGTGGGAGTTTGGTCTGTTTTAGTTTTTCTTCTCTCATAGGTCCAGTCCCAAGTAAGGTGGAGACTTCAATAAAAGCTAGTTTGACCAGTGGCCAGGGTTGGTGGATTGCTAATTGTAATTCAGGTGGAATATTTAGCGTTGTTGAGTTAACCGAATCGTTTTCTTTAAACTTTCGCAACATTTGAAAGTCAGACTTGAATATCATTCCTGTGGCGAAAAGATATTTGACAAATATTAAACTGTTATAAGACATGAAGCGAGGAATGTTTAGTGCTTGATCTATTCCCCAGAGGTTAAATGCCTGTAATAAAATGCATCCATTCACAAGACAAAACTGAAACAATCGTTGAGACACTTCACTGGTTGTTATCACGTATTCTTTATGATTTTCAATTTTTTTACTAATTTTTTGGACTAAATACCGGTACTCATTATCTACTACTAAATCTGCACCTAGTTTTAGTATATTTGAAATACAGTACAACTTGTTTGTATCAATCTTTAATAAAATATGAACGAGTGCAGTTCTGTTTTTACTGTCCACCTTATTCATATCAGCCCCATATGCTAAGAGTTTGGGTAAAACTTCAAAACAATAATCAGTGCAATCTTTGTTTACGGCTATCATACAAGCGGTCTGGCCTGTGGCATCACTTGCATTCACATCTGCTCCATGTTCTAAAAGTATATTTAAAAAATCACTTTTGATGGCATAATTCTCAATGGCAAGCATCAAAGCATTTTTTCCATTATTATCTTGCACGTTTACACTAGCACCTTGTTCTACTAATAATTGAGCCAATGAATATTTACTTGCTTCTGTGGCATACATCAGAGCTGACCGCCCCTCATTTGTGAGAATTTCCTTATCTGCACCCATTTCTAATAATACACGTGCAACATCAACACTAAAGGCATGGTGTAAAAGTGTTTCTCCTAATTTATTTTGTAAATTTATGTCAGTTCCAAAATCAATCAAGTAATTAATTAATTTATGTTTCTTCATAAGGAAAAGTGGTGTGTTTCCTTCGTTGTTTTGATCATTTACATTTACTCCATGTTTTATCAAAGCACTTATGGAAGCGTCGACTTCGAATTTTGCAGCCAAATGTAGTTTTGTGTTACCATGTCCATTACGGGCGTGGATGTTTGCATTGTTTTTTATTAAATGTTTAATAGTAATTGGAAGCAATTCTAAAATCACTTTCTCATAGCGACACAATAATTCATCTCCTTTGAGCATCGTGTGGTGCAAGGTTGTATTCTTGTTTTCGTCAACTAACATTACATCAGCTCCGACAGTGAGAAGGTACCTGACAGCCTCAAGATTACCACAATGACGACACGCCATTATAAACGGCGTCTCACCTTTTGCGTTCTGGACATTGACGTCAGCTTTGTGGTCTACAAACAACTCCAAAACATCCACGTCGCCCAACTCAGCTGCTGCATGTAGACATGTGTTACCTTCATTATCGGTGGTTGAAACATTGGCGCAATTGTTTAAAAATGATTCAGCTACAAGCTTTATTTTATCTCTCCAATTTTGTATTCTATCATGTGAGTTTGTTCTTACTAAGGATGTGTGGAATATATAACCACCAATAGCCTGTTTTATGGCTATCGTGAGCGCTGGTGTCTTTTTAGTGTCTCGCACATTGGCGTCAGCTCCATTGTTTAATAAAGCTATCGACATCTCAACATTTCTATGTTCAAGAGCAATCATTAGCTCGGAATACTTGCCCATATCTAACATCGCGCCATGTTGAATCAACAAATTTAAAAGCTCTGAGTCATTATTTAAAACAGCGACGATTGTTGGAGTGCATAGAGACTCGCATATCACGTTTACATCAGCTCTACACTCTAAAAACATATTTGGTATTTTACATATTTTATAACAGTTTACTTGATGACTGAAAGTGATGTTAACATCAGCTCCAGCTTGTATCAACTTGGCTACCATCTGTACGTTACTGTTGATCACCGCATAAGCTAATGCTGTCATCTGTTTTAGGTCAACACAATTGACTTCAGGCTTAAGGTCAAGCAAAAGATTAAAGACTTGTTCGTTATTTGTTTTAGCTGCCCACGTCAAGGCTGTCATTCCGTCTATGTCCACTTTTGAAATATCAGCTCCATGTTCTAACAAAAATTGTGTGGTGGCAAGATTACGTTCTATAATCGAGTTCATCAGAGGCGTTCTTTGATATTTATCTACACAATTTATATCCGAGCCTGCCTTGATAAGAAGCTCCATCATGTCTATTTGCGATATCTTACATGCCTCAGAGAAAGGTGTATAACTTTCATTATTATAGCCCTCAACTTTAGCTCCAGCGTTCACAATTAATTTTACTATTTCCAGATTATTTGACCTGCAGGCATAATGAAGAGCTGTACTCCGAGAATCATCTGCTTGGTCGATATTTACTTTCTTTTCTATAAGAAAGTTGACAATCTTCATTTGTTTTGACAGAACAGCTTTTATAAGTAAACTACTGCCGTCTTCGTCAACCAAGTTAACATCCGCGCCGGATGATACAAGCAGTTTAACGATTTCTATGTGACAGCAACTAACTGCTTCCATTTTAGCTCCAACCAACAACACATTTATTAGCTCAACTCTATCACCACTACAAGCGATTTGAAGAGCTTTATTTTTGGAGAAATGCACAATATTAAAATCAGAGTATTTTTCAATTAGAATTCTGATAATCGATATATCTTTCACTTGTACGGCTTGTGTAAGTAGTGACTCTAAATGTCTTACCATTCCACTACGCTTCCCTTGTGGTGAAATAAGAAGATTGTTAATCAGAGCTAACTTTTCCGATAAATTTTCACCCGTTAATGATTTTAAATTGATGGAAACCCCCGCGTCTATTAATTCATATAGCAAATCAATACGTTCATTAATAAAAGCCACATAAAATGCGGTCCCACTTTGGTCCGAGTCATCTTTAAGATATTTCTGCATAGCTTTCTCGCCTTCGGCAACAGCTGCCATAAAGTGTTCATTCTTTGACATCTCTAAAGCCTCCAATCCTCGATCACAATTAAAGAAACATCCAGCCCTGATCAGCTCTTCTACACATTCTATGTCGCGAACTTCCACAGCAATGGTTAGTGCTGTGACAAGAAGATCAGGTTTTCTATAAAAGGAATATGCCAGCAAATTCTTGTCTTCAGCAGCTACCATAAGCGCAGTCAAGCCACTACTAGTTTTGCAATTAATTGAGGCAGTGTCCACGCCTTCAATATTCCCCAATTTAGCAGCAGTAAAAATGTTTGATGGAGTTACATTCTTGCCGTTAGACATGTTTGCAGTAAAGTCTAAACGTGGAAAGCTACGAAACTCTTCTTCAGTGCTGTACAGCTAAAATAAAAAAAAATATTTTAAATAATTAGTTAAAGTTTGACAGAAAAAATAAATCAGTTTTGATAACAGTAAACCACGTATTGTTTTCCTGATTCTAAACAAGGCTCAAGATTTTAGAATAGTATATATTTTGCAAAATTTATTGTTTTTTTTTTCGTGAAAACGTATACAATAAAATAGCAACAATGCACTGTAGATTCTTTGAATTATACAGCAATACATATTATTGCATCCTGGACAAACGTGTAACTCAGATTATTTGGAGGACCAAGCTACCACAAAAATTGTTGCTATTTCTGCTAGGTTTTCCTTTTTGCATTTGAAAAAACTCTCACATAAAGTGTGGATTATTTTTTAAAAAAATGCCCGTCTGCATCGAGAACAACTCGTCATAGCTAGGTGGTTGCTACTCGAGAACCTACTGCGGAAAAGTTTTTGGTTCATCTAATGAGCAAAATAGTGAGTTGACCTGTTATAAGAACGTACAAAAATCAGGTATTTATCCGAGTTTGTGTGTTATCATTATCATCTTTCCCGTTCTAAGACACATGCGACAGATTAAGTAGAGTTAATTTGTTTTAGAGACACCGGCATAAGAATGAATTGTGTGGTCAGCACTATGTACAGCCGCTTTTGTTTTACCTAACAATAGTTAGGTACCCATCATAGCTTGGTGGACTGAGGGAAATTCTAATGACTTGAACACGAATTCGAACTCAAGACATTTGGGACAGCAGTCGTGATCTCTACCACTAGGCCACGCGCATGCGTTATACACACAAATAAAAAGACTCATAAAAGACGAGTGAGCTGGCTAGCACTTATGACGTAATCACACTTAAGAACAAGACTAAATAAGATCGACAGAATCTTCTAGAATAAGATAGAACAATTTTTTTTATAATAGCCACAATATTATTAACTTTCTAGCAGCTAGAGCCGTTCGTCAACCAGGAAATTAATCTCTTCTTCTGTTCCGATATTAGAAAACTCATGAATGTCTTAATAAAGATCATGTAAGATTCACTATATTCTTCGCACCAGGGTCCTAATGCAATGCTTTATAGCACTGACCATTGTCTTCACACTATTGTGGTATTAGTTTCGAGTTCGAATCCGGGTTCAAGTTAGTGGAACGTCCCTGAGTCCACCCAACATTGATGGATACATTACTCACGTTAGGAACAGTAAAGGCGGCTGGGCAAAGTGCTGAACACACTATCCCTTTATATGCAGAAGTAAAGAAACAATATGAAATCCATCTGCCCAATGGATTGTTAGATCTAAAAAGGATTCTTTAATTTTTTAACACAAATTATTGCATTTATGCGTAAACCAGTATATAGTTATTTCGATTGTGTTGGTCTGTTAATTCAGAGGCGTTGGGGGGGGGGCACTGGGGTACATATGTCCCCGGGCGCCGACCTTAGGGGGGCCCAAAATGGGTTGTAAAAACAAATTTAAATGTCATTTTAGCTGCATTTTTGCATTATAAATAGTTTGAGATGGGGGGGGGGGGTGCAAATCGAAAGTTTGAGGGGGGTGTAAATTGAACATTTGCTCCAGAGGGGGCGCCAAAATGAAAGTTTGTCCCCGGGCGCCTGGAAGGGTCGCTACGCCTCTGGATAAATTAACAATTATTACTTACAAGCTTACTTAGGAAGGAAAATTAGTCCCGTTCAACATTACAATTAAGAACGAAGAAGAAGGATTATTTCCCACTATAAACGAATTGTGTCTGTATAGTTAATACACAGACAGTTTATAATAGTATACCAGTTGGAGGTGGTGCGTCAGTTTGTGATGATAAGTTGGTGGGCGTCGGTTGGACTGCTGATGGTAGACAGCTGATAGTAAGAAAGGTTAATGGTTAGATGAAGGTCAGACAGTTTGTGGTAAGAAAGTTAATGGTCATACAGTTAATGGTCAGACAGTTAATGGCCAGACAGTTAATGGTCATACAGTTAATGGTCAGACAGTTAATGGTCAGATGATGGTCAGGCAGATGACGATAAGACAATTGATATTCAGACGATGAGCAGACAGTTAATGGTCAGAAATATTCTTTGCAAATGCCAATATTGATTAATTTGATAACACGCATTTTTTATAATCAATGTACCAATCATAATTATTAAACGAGTGTATACGTTTATTTTTCAACTCATTACAAACTTTTAAAACCGCATTGTTCATTTTCAAAATGTATATTTTTATATTTCTTGTATCCTTATTTCAACTAATACAAACGTGAAAATGTGTGAACTTTCTATTTTGGGAAGCCCTCAATAACACTTCCGCAGAGGCGCAGCGTAAGGCTGTTGGCTCTTTAAAAATAACAAAGTGCCAATGTGCTAACAGGATAACCCAGAGCGCCACATAGTCTCCAGAAACAATGATGCAGATTGCGTCATTCGCTAAAGTTACACAAATCAAAAGGGTTTTTTAACATGTATATTTTTTTTTGAAGTGTTATAAACATCAATGTGACTGATGCAATTTTTTAGCTTGCTAATGGTATATTATTAAAAGCTCGATCTCAATTTCTGATTGGATCGTCTAAAAATAGATGCTAATTGCATCATTCGCAAAGTGACGAAACTGTACAGCGGATTTACTCGCGTTACAAAGTTATTTTTAGAAGTGTGACTTTTTATTTTATATGATTTTCCCTTCCAAACTTAATTTTTTACGTAAATATTTACATTATTTTGAGAACTGTAGGCTTTGGAATTCTTTGGATATTTTACGGACAATAGGAAACAACCCAGTGTTAATAATCTAACCTTTGTTAATTTTCCTGATAAAAAAAAAACAACGTATTACAGGGCGCTCAGCAGCCCGCGTGAGCCTTTGGAGTCCAAAACTGAATTTTTTGTTTGCAGCCAGATCGCACCCTACCAGCGCGCCGGCTGACACGTCTGATTCAATTTAGTGAGCGACTGTAACGGCCCATCTTATCCATTATCTACCGCACTGTTTAGAACAAACGTAGGTGCCATTGCGCTCACGGAAAAGCACAGGGCGCCAAATTGAGCCCTGCAGGGGCGCCGAGTGACGCGCCTGGTTCGATATAGTCGATGATTATTGTTGCCCATCGTGTCTTTATTGTATAGCCTTTTTTAATAAACGTAAGCGCCATAGTGTTCGCAGGGGAGACCGGGGTTTTCGGGTCATGCAATCTACGGGGCGCAGACGGTTGCGCCTCTTGAAGTTTTAACGCTGAGTATAGTATTACTCCTTACCCGCTATGCAGGGCGCACGATTAGCGGATGCCACGTGCTAAGGTAGCCGCTCTGTAACTCTGGCGCCAAATTGTGTATTGACGAAAATCACACCCTTGTAGGCGCCACTCATATCATATTTTCATTATTATGTTCACAGAAACCTTCTTGGGAGTATTCTCATCAACTCCCCAAAGTTTCATGACACACGGATGAAAGGTGTCGAACCGCATCTGACTTTTATTATTTTTATATACCGTATATAGAGAAAAATTGCACCCTCCCGTGGCGCCGCCTTTGCGAAATTAAAACTGACTTTTTACAGAACCCTTCTAATGAACTCATCAAAGTTTCATGCCTATTAGACGTACGGTGTCAAACCAAAATCGACTTTTATTTTTATATACCGTAAATCGCAACCTCCCGTAGCGCCACCCTTGCGAAATGATTTTTTTACAGAACACTTCCTTAGAGTGTTCTAATCAACTCACTAACGTCTCATGGCTATCGGATGAACGCTGTCAAACCAAAAACGACTTTTATTTTTATATACCGTATATAGAGAAAAAACAAATCGCGCCCTGCCGGGGCGCCACCCCTGCGAAATTGAAATTTTTTTTTCGCAGAAACCTCCCCAAGAATATTCTCAACAACTTCCCAAAGTTTCACGGCGATGTAATAAGAGATGTGGTAATGCATAAAAGCCACACAGACACACACACACACACACACACACACATACATTGCTTTTTGTATATATAGATAGATTTTAAAATGTGACCTGTGTTGTCATTTTTGCTTTTATTTTCATTCTTAGGAGTTTTTAAAACTAGGTTATTATTATTAATATTATTTTTTACTTTCATTTAATCACAACTAACCATGTCCGTCCAGCCTTCCTTGTATTTTAAACTCTTGTTCATTACAAAAATAATTATAAAACTACATATCGAGCTAGTGTAATACATAAATTTGAAGAACATCACTTGTTATTGCATGTACAAGCAATAATATATAATGGAATAAGTTTTGTTTTCTTTTAAAGAAAGATTAAAATATTTTGCTGTTTCACATTAACTATAATTCAGCTACATACAAAAAAAGTTTAGGTCTAGATTTAAGAGTGTCTTAAAGAAAACATTTGCACGTTAGTCTAATTAAATCGTGGCAATTAAAGTTAAAATTGCTTTTACCTCATACTCGTCATACATTTCTTGAAGCTTTCTTTTTCTTTCATGATTCGTCATGGTTCGAAAATGTCAAGTGAAATTTCTACCACTTCTAACCGACCAATTTATTTGAAACTTGGAACGTAGGTCAAGATTATGCAATCTGAAATCAAATTTGTTTAGACGCTTAATTAGTTAAGTATGATGTAAGTAATATTTTCTTATAAATTTTAGGCTTACAATCTATAGCTCTATTATATGCATGTCACAATTCTTTTATTTAACTTGCCTGCTCTGTCTGTGGAAACGCTCTAGCGGAATTTCGGGCACTTCTAACTGAAAGATTGATTTTACAGTTGGCACGTCAAATTTGACTTAATTTATTCATTTTCTCATTTTTGTTGCACTGTTGTATAAAAGCTTGTTGTAAGATTATTTCTTAAGTAATCTGTTTTTGTCTTTAGTGCATAATTGTTTTAAGTCATGCAAATCTATCGTTTTAAATATGTTAAAGTACTTTAAATACTTATTCATGCTTAAATATTTAAAGAATTGCATTTATTTTCTTGTTTATTGCAAGTGGAAAATAAAATAAATATAAACTATTTTATAATAAAAAGCTTTCAAATATAACAAATTAACAAAATTTAACAAAAAAAAAAACATGCTGTCTTTAATCAAAAATTTTGACGTTAAAATATGCTAGAGATCAAATAAGCTACCATTTTTTTAAAGAAAGCAAGTTTGTCTTATTTCAAGTGCATTTAAACATCTTGTTTTTATGAAGAATGTATTTGTTTATTTTACTCCTTTTTGGGGGTCCATCGGGAGGGGAGGGGGGATTCACAACACCTTGCTCTAGCCACGACAAAGCTAACCTTATCAAAAAATTAAAGTATTTAATATTTTAATAGTGCCTTTTTGGCGTGGTATAACATAAAAACTGCATCCTAAATTCAGAGTGTTAAGTGCAAGCAATGCGTCAGACACTTGTCTATTGTGGGTGTTTCTAACCCACTAAACAGCTCTGCCCTATAATATATATATATATATATATATATATATATATATATATATATATATATATATATATATATATATATATATATATATATATATATATATATATATATATATATATTTATATATATATATATATATATATATATAAATAAACATTCAGACACATATTTAACCATATGACCTGACAGCAGGTACTGCTAGCAAGAATGCGTCCGTCACATTTTCCAAGTACACAGATGAACTGCTTTAGTTCAAGTAGCAAGTAACATATTAATAAGCTCAACTATTTAAAATAAAAAAATACATACACAATTCAACATAAACTTACCTTATTTCTTTTAATACACTTTTCTAAGTTGGGAATAGCTCTGGATCGATTTGTTTACCTGAGGCATTTAGGTTACCTGTTCAACTTCATAGTCCCATTCTAGGAAGTATAAAGTAAAACTTGGAATTTTCGTAACAAGTATGCCAACATGGCGAATGCATTCCATTTTCAGACAAATAATCGCTATTTAAGTAAGTGCTTGCATTATTTTGTTCCAGCACACATGTATGCCAATTTAAATATCACAGAGACACTGCTGTTAACAAAATGTATATATATTTAAATATATATATATATGAACATTTAGATACATGTTTAACAAGGTGAACTGACAGCAAGTAATGCTAGCAAGATGGAGTTCGTAACGTTGTAGATTTTTCAAAGTACACAGATGAACTGCTTTCGCTCTTATAGCAAATATCATATTGATAAGCCCTAATATTTAATTTTATTTAAAAATATGTACAAAATGTAACAATACTTACATTTTTTTCTTTAAATAAACTTTTGTTAATTGGTTATGCTCTTGATCGATTAGTTTACCTCTGGCGTTTAGACTGCCTCTCAAACTTCACAGGTCCATTCTAGGAAGTATACAGTAAAATTTGGAATTTCCGTTGCAAATATGCAAACATGGCGAATGCAGACCATTTTCGAAAAAACAAGGCTTGTTTAAGGAAGTGCACATGTAGGCCTATTAAACATCTTGAAGACCCTCTTGCTAAGAAGAAAACTTCTGTTATTATACAAAACTTACGTGTACGTGTACGTGTACGTGTACGTGTACGTGTACGTGTACGTGTACGTGTACGTGTACGTGTACGTGTACGTGTACGTGTACGTGTACGTGTACGTGTACGTGTACGTGTACGTGTACGTGTACGTGTACGTGTACGTGTACGTGTACGTGTACGTGTACGTGTACGTGTACGTGTACGTCTACGAGTACGTGTACGTGTACGTGTACGGGTACATGTACGGGTACGGGTACGGGTACGGGTACGGGTACGGGTACGGGTACGGGTACGGGTACGGGTACGGGTACGGGTACGGGTACGGGTACGGGTAATGGGTACGGGTACGGGTACGGGTACGGGTACGGGTACGGGTACGGGTACGTGAACGGGTACGTGTACGTGTACGTGTACGTGTACGTGTACGTGTACGTGTACGTGTACGTGTACGTGTACGTGTACGTGTACGTGTACGTGTACGTGTACGTGTACGTGTACGGGTACGGGTACGGGTACGGGTACGGGTACGGGTACGGGTAATGGGTACGGGTACGGGTACGGGTACGGGTACGGGTACGGGTACGGGTACGTGTACGTGTACGTGTACGTGTACGTGTACGTGTACGTGTACGTGTACGTGTACGTGTACGTGTACGTGTACGTGTACGTGTACGTGTACGTGTACGTGTACGTGTACGTGTACGTGTACGTGTACGGGTACGGGTACGGGTACGGGTACGGGTACGGGTACGGGTACGGGTACGGGTACGGGTAATGGGTACGTACGGGTAATGGGTACGGGTACGGGTACGGGTACGGGTACGGGTACGGGTACGTGTACGTGTACGTGTACGTGTACGTGTACGTGTACGTGTACGTGTACGTGTACGTGTACGTGTACGTGTACGTGTACGTGTACGTGTACGTGTACGTGTACGGGTACGGGTACGGGTACGGGTACGGGTACGGGTACGGGTAATGGGTACGGGTACGGGTACGGGTACGGGTACGGGTACGTGTACGTGTACGTGTACGTGTACGTGTACGTGTACGTGTACGTGTACGTGTACGGGTACGGGTACGGGTACGGGTACGGGTACGGGTACGGGTACGGGTACGGGTACGGGTAATGGGTACGTGTACGTGTACGTGTACGGGTACGTGTACGGGTACGGGTACGGGTACGGGTACGGGTACGGGTACGGGTACGGGTACGGGTACGGGTAATGGGTACGGGTACGGGTACGGGTACGGGTACGGGTACGGGTACGGGTACGGGTACGGGTACGGGTACGGGTACGTGAACGGGTACGTGTACGTGTACGTGTACGTGTACGTGTACGTGTACGTGTATGTGTACGTGTACGTGTACGTGTACGTGTACGTGTACGTGTACGTGTACGTGTACGTGTACGTGTACGTGTACGGGTACGGGTACGGGTACGGGTACGGGTACGGGTACGGGTAATGGGTACGGGTACGGGTACGGGTACGGGTACGGGTACGTGTACGTGTACGTGTACGTGTACGTGTACGTGTACGTGTACGTGTACGTGTACGTGTACGTGTACGTG